TGCTCTCGGATCTGTTTTGTGTGGGAGTCTGGAATAGCCTGCGCTGATACGCTGTTGTTCGCGCTGAGGACAAATTATCTAAACGGCTTGAAACAACGTTTTGCGCGTTTGACAAATTTGTTTGAGTTGCTTGAACACTCGTTAGAGTTTGCTCGATTGAGTTTAACCTTTCACCAAAAGTGGCGTTGGCACTAGCGAGTATACCCATCTGATTGGTCAGATCGGTGGTTGACTGAGTAAGCAAGGCAATTGCATTGCTCAAAGCTTGCTGATCAGCCATAGTTTCTTGGTTTGAAAAAAAAGAGAGATTTTGAGATTAAAGAGTTTTGCGGTAAGTCCCCACAGACAGTGCCAAAATGTGGATGTATGATTCACACTCGATTGTCTTTAGGTATTTTTGTGGAGAAAAACTCTAAAATCAACAAATGAAAATAAGGATTTGAAACGGAAAGTAACCAAGAAACTAAATAAAGCGAAAGAGTTTGGCAAGAATAAAATAGTAAAAAGCCTTGCGAAATTGTAAAATAAATAGTATGTTGTATTGCTTGATCGTAAGAGGTAAAAGGTTGTTCTTTTTCCCAAACACATGCGTTTGAGGTTGTTTTTATAGAGAAAACATGATCAATGCGGATATTTACTGCTCATAATCGCATTGATCCGCATTAATCATGTAGGTTACAATTTGACCGAAACGGCTTGAATTTGAACTATCTTGAGCTTCGCGTGGATCTTCCGAACTCTTTCTTGTTGACTCCGAACTCCTGCGTCTTGACGCTGCCGCGAACCTCGAACAATATTCTCCTCGCTTCGGCCTTCTTTTATGTGAACTATATGTTGAATAAGAGCGAACTCCGTACTGGTAAAGATCGAGCTCTTTAATAAACTGAATTGAACTTCCGATAGGTCGAGCTTGATTCTCGCAATGAAACATCTAGAAATCCAAGAGGATTATTATGTAATAATGACGTGGACAGATCCAAGTGGATCCTACCGAAGATGTGTGGGATCCGACCCCAACAGTTTCCTTTTAACTTTTAATTTGAATCTTAATTTGTGTTATTTCAAATATGAAAGTACAGTACAAAAATGTAAGTGCGGATGAGGTTATAATAAGTGCAGAAAGTAAACGAGACAAAAAATTTGTTAGCGAGGTTCAGTTTTTCCTACTCCCCAGGATCAAGTCCAGATTTGATTTCACTAGAACAAGAAAGCAAATTACAACCAATTCGAAAACGCGTAAAACAAGCACAACCCTCTTGATTTACTGTTCTCTTCTATAACGTGAAACCTTAAGGATAATCTCTATCCTTAACTAAACCCTCCCTGAGTCTAGATTTAATCAGGATAACCTAACCCTGAGCTAAACTCCTCCAAAGCCTAGACTTCAATTCTTTAAATCTCTGGACCAACCGTCACACACGAACGTTACACCAACATAAATAAGCTTGATCACACAAGCACCAAACCGTGAAACTATGTCGCACAAAACTGTAAAACTATGTCGCACACACCCTCAGAAAGCTCTCAATGATTTATCTCTATGACTCAGCTCTCTTACGTCTCCAAGACGTTCTCAAATCCTCCTTATATAGCCAAAATGATTTCCTAATCACCATAAGAGAAGATTTCCAAATTCCATAAGGAAAAATAAATTTTCTTTTATACTTTTTTTTTTTTTTCATCAAATTCCACTTTCATCAAGTCTTCTAAATCTCTTTACGTCCTTTTTTCTTTTTGATTCATCTTCTAAACACGTTTCAAACATATCTTCTCAAATCTTCTAGAAACCGACACTCACACAAAAACAGTCGCATCATATTGAATTATTTCTTGAATCATTCAGCAATTGCATCAGACCAAATCTTTTGTTACTTCTTGACTCATTCAACAATTCCATCAACAGCAACTACATCTTCATAAAAGGCTTTTAGGTCATTGTTTTGTTTTGTTCCACTGATTCTCTCGAATTCATGACGATCGTTTTTAAACTTTGAATGTTCGAATTAGAATGACAAATCTAAAGATGATGGTTTAGCAAAAGTTAACTGCTTTGAGATCCTTTCGATCCCGAATCTGTCATACCCGTTTATCCTTTTGTTTTGCTTTGGTTTTAGTTGCTTTATCGGTTTTGTGTATTTTAAAATTTGAATGATTAATAAAAAAAGTTAAAGAAAAAAAAGAGCAATTTAATTTTTATTAATATAATAATATTTTTCAAGATCAATTATCTATAAATAAAATTAATTCCTTTTAGAAAATATTTAATTAACTTTTATACCTTTTCTAAAACAAATATACTAGAACAGACTAGAAGTTATCACTTTTTGACCCATACTATTATCTTTTTTTTTTTAATTGAATCGGCTCTAAATTTCCTCGACTCTCGACCCATATATAGAGATTTATAGCAGACATTGGGACATGTATGCAATCAGACACATTGTCGATAATACATCGACCTGAAATAAAAAAAAGCTCCTTGTCCAAAACCTTTTATATTCACCTCTCATCGTTATCTTCATTTAGAAACACTAAACAATGTTTACTGTGTTTTATTAATATTTGCCCTATTTAAAAATTCAATTGGAATTGTGAGTCCCTCTTCTCTATTCCTTCAAGGCAACTAAAACTACATTGCGTGACTTCTCTTCTGAAACCATATTCTATACTTTCTCCGATCAAATATGGCTTATTTAGCTCCGATTTCTTCATCCTTATCCATCTTCAAAAATCCCCAACTCTCAAGATTCCAATTTGCTTCTTCCCGACCAAACCCACTTTTCCTTGGACCTAGGATTCAGATTCTGAGTATGCCCATGAACAAGTCGCCGTCTTTAGTGGTGGTTGCGGCTACTACTGCGGCGGAGAAGCAGAAGAAGAGGTATCCAGGAGAATCAAAGGGTTTTGTGGAGGAGATGAGGTTTGTGGCTATGAGACTTCATACGAAAGATCAAGCTAAGGAAGGTGAGAAAGAGACTAAATCTATTGAGGAACGTCCTGTGGCTAAATGGGAACCGACTGTTGATGGTTACTTGAGGTTTCTTGTGGACAGTAAATTGGTTTATGATACTCTTGAACAGATTATTCAAGATTCCAATTTCCCAACTTGTGAGTTTTTTCTCCTTCCTTCTTGATATGGGTTGATTGGTAATCTTTAGAGCTGATTGTGGAGGAAGAAGTTGAAGTGATTTGGAGTGTTTTAGGTTTTAGTATCTACCCATTTGATAAAGATGATTACTTTGCTTAATTTCTTATCTTGTTTTCGATTCGACTCATTCATATTTCCCTTGGATTGAGTTGGTTATAGTGATGGTTTTATATGAATTAATATACTCTTAGGATGGTAGTTTATTGAGGGGTTGATGGTGATTTTCAGAACTGATTTTTGATGGAAAAGTTGAAGTGATTTAGAGTGTTTAAAATTTTTAGTATCTAACAATTTAATAAAGATCATTCCTTTGCCTCATTCCATTTAGATTTTGTGGCAACTTGGTTTTTTCACTCTTGGATTGAGTTGGTTATAGGGGAGGTTATGTATGAATGATGTATATTTTGAGATCTCTTCAATGGTGGATTTAAGGTTGAATATATGTACAACTTGTGAATCTATTGAATGTTTTGGAGTTTTGGACTTCCAATCTTATCGTATCTCTCTTATTCTTGTGTCATAGCAAACCTTACGTAAAATAAGAGTCTTCAAACAATCTATATGAGGGATTATGGTTATGGTAGCTCGTGATTAAAAATGAGTTTGCTTATGTATTGGAAAAAGATACCGGTTTGAATGATCTTTATGCAAAAGTAGGTCTTTTTTCCTTGCGTAACCTTCTCAGGATCTATTTCTGCATACTGTGTTTTTGTAGATGCCGAATTCAAGAACACGGGGCTGGAAAGGGCAGAGAAATTGGCCAAGGATTTGGAGTGGTTCAAGGAACAAGGTTACGAGATTCCAGAACCAACTGCTCCTGGTAAAACATATTCTCTGTATTTAAAGGAATTAGCAGAGAAGGATCCTCAAGCATTCATTTGTCACTTCTACAACATCTATTTCGCCCATAGCGCTGGTGGACGAATGATTGGCAGAAAGGTAAACACTTTGGCTTTAAAAATGGCTTGGAAAATTAGCAAAGACTTCTTCTGACGCTTACCAAATTTTGCAGGTAGCAGAGAGAATACTAGACAATAAAGAACTCGAGTTCTACAAATGGGACGGCGAACTTTCCCAATTGTTGCAGAACGTTAGGGAGAAACTGAACAAAGTTGCAGAGGAGTGGACGAGAGAAGAAAAGAATCATTGTTTGGAAGAGACGGAGAAATCGTTCAAGTATTCTGGTGAGATACTTCGTCTGATATTGTCCTGATTTGAATCGCAGTGTCTCTAGATATCTCAATAGGGCTTGTGGCAACTAAAATCCTGCACATTGTTTATATTCCTGTATTATATTCATCATCTTCTACTTCTTGTTAAACTCTTCTTTGCTTCAATGCTATTACTAAGTTCATCGTTCAAATTAATAACTTTTCCGCCATTTATGGCTCAAATATACGTTCAATGATAAGTGTACGTCTGATATAGCTAGAGGACTGAACTCTTGTGTGTAAAATTGTAAGTTTTAGTGTACATCTGATTCTATTGGATGGTTGGTTTAGTTAAGAAACCAACCATCCAATGAAGCTGAGTCTGAAATCGTCGATGATGTCTTCTTCTCCGTTGCAAGTTCTGCCATTTCAAAATCTCAAAGACAAAATTAAACTTCTAGGGTTTATGTAACACGAACACAAAAGATGTCGTCGTCCTCTGCTCCCAAGTGTGGGAGAGCTTCTGGCTGAAATGGAAGGTCTTACACTCAAGCTTCGTCTAAATCAAGGGTATAACTAAGTTTTGATCGTCTGATGCTGTAAAGTAAACTAGTAAGTAATGCATAGTATTAGAACTGCCTGAACTGTTGACATCAGAGATCGCAAAACCAACAAATGTCTTAGTATCCAAAGTAAAGATTTTACAGCTTAGCGCTCTCAACCCGGAGAGCCACCACTGGAGATGTGCTGAGGATCGTCACGGGTTTCTCTCTCGAGTATCTCCAACAATTGAGGTCATCTTCCTCACGTCCTGTATGCACACCATATTTGTAGGAGTAAGTTACATTGCCTGGCCCATGGGTGAAAACAATTGAGTTCCCACTTAAACCACAACCATCAGGAAGCTCCTTAGCCGAGCAGCAGACATTTCCCAAATCTCCAATGACCAACAAACGGTCACCTATTTCGCTGACCTCGACCCATTTACCAGCCTCCTCATCTAACATACTAACTCTTAATGTTAACCGACTAAAGTATAATACACCAGTACGAGGGATGATTTTCTCAACCAGGAAAAGTGCATCATTGCCAGATGGAACCAGATCATTTACTGAACCAGAGTTCAGAAGCTCCGAGGGTATCAGGGGAGTCACTTCCAGCGAATAAGGATCGATAGCGAAAATGCCATGGTTAAAAAAGGCTGCATAAAATCTGCCTCTAAAAGTGATTAAATCCGAGCATGAAGCATATGAGGGTTTCTCAAGCAGCATCCATCTCATCTCATCCGTATTAAAAACGCGCGGATCCTTAAAACAAATTCCAGTCGGGTCAATATTAGCGCCGAACTAAAAAGGCGCGGATCCCTTTTTGTAGCAACCCTATTTATATGATTTTTTTTGTCTCTCTCTCGCCTCTCTTTTCCACTAATATCTCTCTTCAATCTCATCTCAACCATGACAGAGATAGACGAAGATCGGGTCAGTAAGAAGAGAGTGGCGCTTGGTGAGCTTCTAAGTGTCTCTAATGTCAATGTCTTGGCTAATCGCAATCAGAAAAGAGAAACCTAGAAACCAAAAAAAGAGTCTTAGAGCTATTCATGTGAGCTTCTCTCGTATTTAGTGCTCTCTTTACAATCGGTTTTTGATGGTAAAGAAGAATCTTTTTTTGAGCATTCATGTGAGCTTCTTTCGTCTTTAGTGCTCTCTTCATCACTGGCGACAACGGTTTCAATGGGACTGGCTACAGTTAGCCTTTGCCTCCTGTGGAACTAAAGCAAAGCTCAGAAGGAGCAAACTGAGAAACAGGCACAAAACATAAAGCATATTTGAATGTTCCAGTGCTCCACATGGGAAAGTTACGACATTTGTTAACTAGTATTTAAGGTTTATGGATCTCTCTACTCATTGTCAATCATTCAACTCCAATGGTCTCATTGCTCCAATTCCAAATGACAAACACAAATAAAACTTTTGACAGGAGATAACTTTTGGGAGGCGAATTGCAATCTATCCCCAGCCGATCAACCGATGACTTCACACAGAAAATATACACACAACAAATAATGACATGAGGTACCCTTTCATTTGTTTTCTGGTTTCACCTTGGAACAAAACTTAAGAACAGAGCTTCTATCTGCTTCCCAAAGAAACTCCAGGATGATCGACTCTCCTATCTTCACACCGTTAGCGTAGCAGAACTCTTTCCAACCTCCTGACAATCTCATTCTTTTACATTTCTCCTCAAACCACAGATTGGTAGACCACTTCACCCCATGTTTATCCAAAAAAACTCATCTTCTTTGCCTTTATGATGCCATTCACCTTTGTGAAAGGCACTGGAAGAATCTGAGAAAGATTTAGACGAAGGAGACGAGGATGAAGAATCGATAAGACCTGTATAAAGATAATTAATGGCTGTTTGGTGATGAAACTTACCAGTTTAGATTGTCCTACGTTGTAAGGTGTAAGAGTTACTGTCACAAAACGGTTTTGAGATGGTAAAGAAGAAGCTTTCCATATCAAGATTTTTTTTTTTGTGCATTCACGTGAGCTTCTCTTGTCTTGGTTGTTGTCTATTGCATTACCTTCTTCTTCTAGCTCTCTGTGGGCTAAACGTAAACCCAGAGTTCCTCCCCTTTCGATCAGTTTGAAAGTGAAGAAACTTCCAGCTCTAAGTCCATTAGCATTACAGAAATTTCTCCATCCTCGTCTGATGTAAGTAGTTGCACATGATTTCTTTCGTTTCAAAGCTACAGTCCATGATCTGCCCTTTTCGTTGATCAGAATCATCTCGCCACATCTATTGTCTAGACCATTTGCCCTCACAAAACACATTGGAAGATTCTGGAAATCCATTACAGTAAAACATGATTTTGATCTTAATCAGACCCTAGTATAAGAGTTAATTCTGATTTAAAATTGTAGAATACCAGTGAGTCATAACGTAGATTCGAAGGAGTGACATTAGCCACGAAACAAGAGAGATCTAGTGAAGACTCGGCTTTTTTCTTCTTCCTTTGAATCGTCCCTGAAAAAGTAGATACTAAATCCAACTCGTATTATTAAACAGATTCTCTCTACTCAAAGATTCATATTCATCTATATCAGTTAGAGAGACGAAATAACAAAACTCACCGCGGTTGTTCTGGTTGTCTAAACAAGACACATATTGAATCTCACAACAACTAGGTCCCAACATTGTAACGTGGAAAGTCATGTCTCTCTCTTGTCTGAAAACAATGATGTCACCGATTCGAAGATCATGTGCGAGAGCAAAGTCTCTCCAACCGTTTGTAAGTCTCTGGCCATCTATTTTCACTTTCCAGGTTTTGTTCGATGCGTCTGATCTTAACTCCGCCGTCTTCTGCTCATTTCTTCCTTCTATATTCTTAAAGAAAAAAGCCACAGGAATCGTCTGAAAAAACAAAAGCAGACCCATTATTCTCAATGTGCTTTCCAGAGGGACAGAGACAGATATAGAAGAAGGGAAAGAGAGAGAGAAAGATTACCAAGTGGCTGTGAAAGCCAGGAAGAAGTGGCTTGAAGAAATGTTGATTTGCCATTCTCAAAGCTCCTAAATCTCTCTCTCTTTCCCTTCTTCTCAAGGGGGAAAGAGTGTAGTAAACACAACGTTTCAAGGTGAAGACCTTTTATTTTGAAGTAGAGACTGTTTGGTTTCCACTGGCAAACACTCCTTGGAACTCGAGAGCTTTTAAAAAAGAAAACCATCGATTAATGATTACTAGTGTAAGTGTATTCATTATGCACTTTATATGCTTTTATATTAACAATCTGTACCCATTATGGTAACATCTTAACCATCATAAATCTCTCCACGCGAAGGACAAATAGAAGTGAATACCTAAAACATGTTCCCTCAGTCGAAACAGAGCCTAAAAAGAATCTCCCTACACTACGTTAGCCTAACGGTATGCATCATATATGTTGGATAGAATTCTATAAACTTTTGACATCTTTATGGTTGGTCTATTATTGATGATGATTCACTGTACCTATATGGGAAGTGTTTTTTATGGGACTCTTGGTCACTAATATAGTGGGCCTAAAGAAGAGTCAATGGAGCATCAACAACATATGTGTACTAGTTAGAACTGATCATTGATATGCATCACAGAAATATACCAAAAAATTGAGTACATATTACAAGGAGAAACAAACATGACTGACCAAATTTGGCAACTTATAAACTAAATGTTTTTCTCTGCAATACCTATTGCTCATCTTTCTTATATTCCTCAACTTGTTATGGCATCTTATTACCATTTGTCGGTATGTCCGGTGTCTTTCACTCCTTGGTGCAATGTGCATCTGTGCCATGCTGGCTACACTTGCTATATCCAACACTTTTCAGAAAATCACGTATCTCTTTGGAGCTACTATTACTTGCCTTGAGTAATCTCTCATCTTCCTCATAGATTAGATAAGGAGCTTCTGCTGGTTTCCTTGAAAGTAACTTCTTTGCACCCTTTAAAACGTGGTATTCCCAACCTTGAACGTCGATCTTGATAAGAAGAACAGGTTGAGAAGGTGGTATTAGTTTGTCAAGAGGTATGGATTTCACTTGGACTGCTATTTCTTTGTTTGACTTGAATGCAAGTCTTGCTCCCACCTCCGAAACCGCGCTATTGTCAAGCCGTCCAACCAACTGTATCAACAACAATGGAATCCACATTTAGCAAGATGGGTCGTGGTACGGTATAACCAAGTTAAACATTCAAGTTTCAGTTAAGCAGATTAGGCCTATACATAAAAGTTACATCTTTGTATAGTTCTTGGACACTTATCAAATACGAAAATCATTCCACATTGCAACTTTTCGCCGGCTGTATCAACATAATCTGTTTCTCAATAGCAGCAATAAGAATAAACAGAAACCACAAAGCTCTGTTCTCACAAAACTATAGAAATGTGATACCTTATGAAATGTAATGTCCCCTGTTCTGTCAGAAACAGCAGCTTGAAACACAGTAACCAAAGCAGCAACTCTATTGAACCAAATGCCATCACAAATCCTCTGTAAATTCTCAAAAACAGGCTCAAAGGCAAGAACTTTAAACCCCATAACCGCAGCAGCAAAGCTAGCCATACCAACATTAGCTCCAACATCAACAACAATCCCATTTTTACCACTAGCTCTCATATTCTCCAAAACCTCCTGAATCGTGGCGGAGATATCTGGTTTCCTAAAGGGCTTTCCTTTAAGCAGCCTGACAATGTTCTTGTGTGGTTTCTCCGGGAGATTACCGAGATCAGCGAGAGAGTAAACAAAAGGGTACTTGAGATTCTCGACGACGTTTGCGATTATTGGTTTTGACTGGGGACATTTGAAGCAATCAAAGGGAGGGATTGGAAATGGTGAATCGATTGAGAGATTGGGATTAGAGTATTGGAGAGAGGAGTTCGAGAAGAAGAAGAAGAGAGAAGAGAGGAAGATAATGGAGAGGACAAGAAGTGAGATTAGTGTCTTTGGTGATAAAAGCTTCTGGTTCTTGTCTCTTCTCCAGGCGTTCGCCATGGAAATGGATCCAGATGTGTTGCTCAGAGTCTGAGTTCAAATGGGTAGCTTTTGAAATTGCAGATCTGAGGAAACAACAAGGAGAGATCTAGGGTGGGAAAAGCTGGATTCGTATCGATTTGTTAAAGAAAAACAAAAACAAGAGCCGAGGTTTTCAATTTCAGTGAAGACATGAGATTTACACAAGGAGAGTCCCGTAGAGAGACACAATGGCACGTGTGTTTATAAATTAAGGGATGATTACTAAAATAACCCAAATTAAGTATTTATTTACTTACAAGAGTGTCTCACAAAATGTAAAGGTTAATTGAATTTTTTTTTTTGTCAACATCTTTTAATTGAAAATTCAAAAGAACCATTCCCGAGGAATGTTGTTTACATATGTGATGTGATGCGGTTCGGTGCAAACTTTTCCCGCCAAATTATCCGCTTTTACATTTGCACTTCGAGGGATTAAAGATAAAGAGATGCTTGAAAATTCCTCCTTGTCTCTTTGTAAATCTTCTAAATACACTGAGAAGACCGGCCATTCGGTTGGAGAAGACACCATCTTCACCAGGTCTGAACAGTCTGTATAAAAAGCTACTTCTTGATTGTCGGCTCCAATCATACACTTCATCGCCCAGAGAAGAGCTTCCACTTCTGTATGTAGTGGAGAAAGACTTCTTCGGATGTTGGCAGCTCCCATAGTTGGCGTCTCTCCATTTGATGATGTGCAGAACCACCCTGTTCCTGAAAATTTATCAGTCTCTTTCCATGATCCATCCACGAAACACCGATATCCGGAATAGAGATTATCATGGAAAAATTCTCTCACTCGAGCTCGAGATTCACTGTTTAAAGAACCATGATTTGTAAAGGTTAATTGGAGAGATCGTGGGATCCATTGGATAGCATGGGAAAAAATGTGTAAGGATAAAGAAGAAGGAGGTTTAGGCTTTCATTCCCTAGACATTTTTAATGATGCCATGTTGGCTAAACAATATTGGCGTTTAATCCAATATCCGAACTCTTTAGTAGTTCGGGTGCTACAAAGTAGATATTTCAGGAATATTCATCCTTTACAGGCAAAAAAACCAAACTCTCCATCATTTGGATGGAAGAGTATTTTTTCTACTAAACGATTAGTTGAAGTGGGAGCTAGATGGTCACTAGGATCGGGTTTCAATCTATCGGTATGGCGAGATCCTTGGATTCCTGATGTTAACCCACGGCCCGCAAATGGAAGAGGAAAAACATTACTTCCAAGTTTGATGGTTAACCATTTAATTAATCCGGTTACTAAAGAATGGCACCTTCCTATTTTACAAGAATTTTTGGATCCAGTGGATATTCAGTTTATTAGGGGATTGGCTATTAGCAAAGTTTATAAGCCAGATAGACTTATCTGGCATCATACAAGATCCGGAAGATATACAGTAAAATCAGGCTATCGGGTTGCTAGAGAGATGACAGAAACGATCGAATGGGGCCCGGATTATAAGAATTTACAAGCACAAGCTTGGAAAGTCAAAGCCCCTCCAAAACTAAAACATTTCTTATGGCAAATTGCTACGGGATCTCTAGCAGTTACTTCAAAATTAGCACATCGAGGGATCCAATGTGACTTTCTCTATAAAAGGTGTGAGATGGCAAAGGAAACAATAAATCATGCTTTATTTGAGTGCACTCATTCTCAGAAAATATGGGAATTATCCGATATACCTACGGCAATAGGTAGTTTTCCTCTAACCTCGGAATTCTCAAATCTAGATTATCTTTTTTGGAGGTTACCATCTAATCTAGATGGGGGAGAGAAAACTTTCAGTTATGCTTGGATTTTGTGGTTCATCTGGAAAGATAAGAATAAAAAGGTTTTCAAGGGATTACAATCTGAACCCAGAGATATTTTAAATCATGCTTTGAGTGAAAAATTAATGTGGGAAGAAGCTCAGTTGGATCCGATCGAAACTAGTTCTACTACGGAAACTTTGGAACGACCGGTTCAATCTATAAGATGTCGGATTGATGGTTCTTGGAAAAATTCAGATCCAACAATGGGTATAGGATGGTGGTGTTTTCAAGGAAATGATCAAACGATACTGCTCGGTGCAAAGTGCCTTCGGAGGTGTCCCTCCCCTCTTCACTCGGAGATGGAAGCTTTAATTTGGGCTATGAAGAATATCCTTTCAAGAGGGATCGATTGTCAGGTGTTTGAATCAGACTGCTCGGAGTTAGTCTCGATGATACACTCACCGGATGAATGGCCTGCTTTCTCCAATCTTCTAGACGAGTTTGGTTTTCTCCATCTCTCTTTCCCTTTCTTCTCGCTTTCTCTTATTTCTCGTTTATGTAATGTTCAAGCGGACTGCTTAGCCCGTTCTTCTAGACTTTTATTTTCTGAAGTTACTTTTGTAAACTCTACTCCTCCTAATTGGGCAACCAATCAAGGAATTATTTATTAATTAATGTGTGGTTGACAAAAATAAAAAAAGGTTAATTGAATTATTTTTATGTTTAATATATCTTTTGTTGGTTTTGTAAGAAAAAAATATATTACAAAAATACCATTAAAATTTAATAAGAGTGTCTCACAATATCACCGTGAACTTTTGGTCGAGTTTGAAATGTCTGCGGCTCCAATTGTAACAAATTTGTTTTGGACGACATACTTATTTGTACACAACAAGTTTCGTTATTTGGTCCACAGATTTATTTGCATACGGTTATAACAGATTTATATTGGGGACAGTTATTAAAATAGATCAAAAATCATATTCTTTCTGTTTCAATTTATTTGTAGTTTAATGTATTTGTACTCATTTTTGGTAGACCGTTTCTCCACCGTTGGTACATTGATAGATGTAAGGAAGAGCAAAATTAATTTGCAGATTGGTGACATTGTTTAGGAGTTTAACATGGAGAGAGTGCTGTCTAAACCCACCATTAAGAGTCAGACATTATGGATGAGCTAGCTGATGAGCTCTTTGAGGAGTTGAACACAGAGGATCCTCTTCAGATTGCCTTGATTAAAGAAGAGAATGAGTTTGGATACCTTGGAGAAATGACTACTGAGTTTGCTAGAATGTTGTATTCTGGTTCACTAATGACTAAAGTGGTGGCAGTTGCTGAGCTTGGGGATTCTGAGGTAGAGAAAGATGTGGTTGTTTCTACACCAGAGGACTGCGATGTTTGGAGCAAGCTGAAAGCTTTAAAAGTGGAACTCAAACCACTTCTTGTCAGACTAAGGTATGCGTTTCTTGGTACTAACTCTACCTACCCTGTAATAGTTCATGATGAGCTGAATAATGTGGAGAGTGCCTGTTGGTGTCGGATCCCGAACTCTATGTTCGAATCCACCCGTAGATTTCCACATAGGCCAAAAGTCAATGGGGCGGTGAGAATCGGTCCAGACAAGCGTTGACATGGTTTACCCAGCTCGAGTCCAAGTCGATCAATTATTTTAACGAACTGTTAGTTGTCTTCCTCAAGCAGTACTCGATCCCAATTTACAAGAGCACATCCGAAGTGGATCTGTGGAACATGACCCAAGGTCCCAATGACACGCTCTGAAAGCATATAACCAAGTTTAAGGAGATATTGGCAAAGCTTCTAGCGGTTTCGCCAGCTTTGGCCTTATCAGCTCTAAAGAAAGAATAATGGCATTAGTCAAGATTACAAGAAGAGATCATTGTTCACAAACCAATTACCATTCAAGACGAATTGTTTCGAGCAAACAATTGGATGGAAGTAGAAGACGAAAGGATTAGTTTCGCGAAGAAAAACAAATCGACCAAGCCAAATGTTGTTGTCCCTTCCAAGAACCCCAAGCCCATGGATAAAGAATTTAAGCGTTTCGGGGTCAATTCGTTTAACAACAGTGTGGAAAGACCGTCTCTGATAAAAGAAAGATCTGAGCAGTCGTCCCCAACGGCATAGACTTGTGATGAGAAAGCATACTAAGATATCCATAGGGTAAACGGGCATGCATCCAAGGATTGCAGCGTGCTGAAAAGACACCTAGCCGAGCTGTGGGAAAGCGGAGATCTTGCAAACTTTGACATTAAGGAGTTTGCAAAAGCTTATCACTTGGAAAAGGCTGAAGCATAAGGGTTATCACCAACATGGAAAAGGCTTAAAACTTCAAATCATGAAGCTCTTGCCGGTTCTAAGGGAAGGATCAAAGTAATTGATTCAATTACCGCTATCAAGAAGCATAGGCGGAATATTTTGGTAAAAGTCAGTACTAGTGACGAGCCCGAGTTTCCCAAAGCAATCATAACAATCAAAGTAGAAGATACACACCACCTCGCAAAACCCCATGACGATGCTTTGGTTATTACTTTGGATGTGGCAAACTTTGAAGTCTCAAGTATCTTCATCTATACAGAGAGTTCGGTGGATCTGATCTTCTTGAGCACTTTGAAAAGAATGGGAATTATCCGAGCCAATGTAGTCGGACCACGCGCTCTATTGGTAGCTTTCACCAACGACACCGCAATGTCTTTAGGAACAATCAAATTACCAATCCTAGTAGAAGGTATGTAGAAGATCGTAGAGTTCACCATCTTTGATAAACCAGCAGCTTACAACATCATCTTCGGGACACCGTGGACTACCTACCATAAATGCGTTAAGTTTCCAACTCCGAACGGCGTTAAAACTATTCGAGGAGATCATGAAGCTTCGAGTACCTGTTATTTAACGAGTCATCGGATGAAGCTATAATATAATTTAGCGAACCCCGCAAAGAAAGGAGTGATCCCAAGATTTCTGAGCGGGCATTTAGTCGATGATGTCATACTCAAGGTAGCCGTACAAGCTCAGTCTACCCGATTGCGCCCGTCATGTTCTTCTTCGGTTGCAGAAACAAAGACACAAACTTTCTATACCGCGATTTCTGGGAGTCTCACGCAAGAGAAGGAGGCATGCTTTCTGAAGGAAAAGGCGGTGGCTTTTACGTAGCGTTTTCTAGAGACCAACTGAAGAAGACGTGCAACATAAGATCCGCGAAATGAGCAAGAAAGTTTGGGATTTACTCTGTGATGGAGCCGCTGTTTACGTGGCGGGCTTGTCCACAAAACTGCCTTCTGATGTGATGTCGGCTTTGGAAGACATTGTGTCGGAGACAGAAGGATCAGCTTCACGGTTGCTCAAGGCTTTAGAGAAGGCAGGGAGGTACAATGTTGAAGCTTGGTCTTAACTCTAACTTCCCTCATATGTAATCTTTAATCCATATATGAAGCTAAGAAGCTTTGGTTATTGTTGTCACATTAATTTTTATTTTATTTTGATAATTCATAAAATGAAAATAACTAAATCTGGAAATGATTTGTCGAATATTAAGTTAATATATAATTTTAGCTTTGAAATACATATTTTTTGTTGGTTTGTTTGTTTGTCGTTTAGATTTTAAATATCATAAACTAAATAAAATGTGATTCTACTTAAATCGTAAAACGGTTATCTTAGTATTTTTATCAGATTTTATCATCAGTGAAAAAACTCAACTAGCTTAAATTTATAAAGTTTAAGTTGTTAGTTGCGTTTTACTTTTGTATGGAAAGTACATGATATTGACCTATTTGTTTATACGAAAATATTAAATAATTTTAAAAGTATTGAACGAAGAAAGAATTGCCATAAAAAAAAGGAGCAATCGAGCATGCGTGAGTAGCAAGTAATCACAAATCTAAGACAACTACCAGGAAAAATTTATATTATAGAAGTTTGAGATATCATTCTTTTAAGATAGCATAAATCTAAGACAACTACCAGGAAAAAGACTTCAAATTTGTGATTACTCGGAAAAAAAAAATCTGCGAACACATATTATAGAATTTGCAAGGATATTGTTTTGGAAGGGGAAAAATGTCATTTAATCTCCCAACTTTCAAATTGTGGCCATTTAATACATCAACTTCATATGTCACCATTTAAAACATGAACTAAATGTTGACTAACGTTTAAGACATAGAAATTCGTTGACCAGGCTAATATAGACATGTCTATATTAGCCTTTTTGATGACAAAAAAGGCTAATATAGACATGTCGTTATTAATCGTTAACGGAATCTCTAACCCCCGTTATCACCCCTAACGACTCTGTTAATCAACTTTCAAATTGTGGTCATTTTAAACATCAACTTCATATGTGGCCATTTAAAACATGAACTAGACGTTGACTAATATTTGAAACATGAAAATTCGTTGACCAGGCCAAAATAGACATGACGTCATCAGTCGTTAAAAAAACCTATAACATCTGTTATCACCCGTTAACTACTCTGTTAGTATGTCCAAAACGACTTCGTTTTGAAGATAATCGAGAGAGAAGCACGATTTTTCCCAAATGAAAACACTTAATCCCCAAATCTATTTCTACAACAGCTTAAACAAAATAAACAGTTCTATTTCAGAAAAGCTACATTTAGTCCTATGATGGGTCTACAAGTTTGCTTCCATGATTCCTTTTAAGATTTAAAACAAATATATAAACGAAAAAACCTTTGTTTGCTTCCAATTACTGGCTCTACGATTTTCTCTATATCAAACTATGTCCTAGGATTCTGCTTTAAAACAATTTTGTCTTGATTTTCTGTCGATTATTTTCAAAACGACGTCGTTTTGGGTAGACTAACAGATTCGATAATGGGTAATAACAAGTGTTATAGGTTCTGTTAATGACTGATTAAGACATGTCTATTTTGGCCTGATCAACGAATCTCATGTCTCAAATTGTTAGTCAACGTTTAGTTCATGTTTTGAATGGCCACATATGAAGTTGATGTTTAAAATGGCCACAATTTGAAAGTTGACTAACAGAGTCGTTAGAGGTGATAACGGGCGTTAGAGGTTCTGTTAACGACTGTTAATGGCATGTCTATTTTGGTCTGGTCAACGAATTTATATGTCTCAAATGTTAGTCAACGTTTAGTTCATGTTTAAAATGGTCATATATGAAGTTGATGTATTAAATGGCTACAATTTGAAAGTTGGGGGATTAAATGACATTTTTCCCGTTTTGGAAGGTTCTAAAAATCTGCGAAACTCAAAAAATAAGACCTACAAATCCAAGATTACATTAAAAACAAAAAAATGAAAATACGGCAAATTCGTGAGGTGAGTGATCTTAAAGTCTTTACCACGAGAAAATAGATCAGACATATGAGGCCCGACTCTCTCCAACTTTGTCAAATATCTTCGGGACTAGTTCTGTCTGGAGAGCCTACATGTTTTCATTGCAAAGGCCATCAAATGATTTTCCAAGAGTTAACGTTTTACTTAATAATTTTTGAAGAAGGGTTAAATATAAATGAAAGACTAAGGTGAGCATATATAATGCTCAAATAAACGGTCATAAAGCTAGAAAGTAGGAAACAGTTCGCAAGAAGTAAATAAAAATAGAGTTGTTTGACATTTATTGGTGATCCATGGCTAAAATAGGAAAGTCTTGGTGCTCTTGAGTCTTGGCAACCTTGACAAGTAATAATATCGTTTTGGGACGTACAAACTCTATATGAAGTTTCAGGTTGCGCAAAAACTGATCAGAATAGAGCCGTTGTGATTTGATCTCCTTCGGCTCCGGAAAAGGTGCACCAAGGCTTGCTTGAGTGTGAACCTTTTTGAGTAGTGTAGGGGATCTCCAGATTTCCATATATGGCTCTGGGACGCACAAAAAGAAGGAAATGATAGGTTTTCTCATTTGGTACAAGCTGGTCTGATACAAAAAGTACTTCAGGCAGTTCGTTAGACAATCCATCAAAAAGTTTATCAAGCAATCCATCAGCAAGTGCATCAACTGCCATTCTAAAATCCGATGCTATCATAGCCATTAATTTTACAGATGTCACTGATCAATTAAATTTAGCATGTATTAAGTATTTTTTTTCTTGCCCAAAAAAATCATTTAGCATGGATACTAACTAATAAACAATAACTATTAAAGTTCAAAATAGCAATATAAGTTATTAACGTTAATTTAGTCATAGTTATACTTATGTTTTATTCTAAGAATTTTATGCATGTAGTCATAAGTGAAAACAAATTTTTTTTGGAAAAATGGCTTATAGAAATTAATTTTCCACTACTTGATGAGAATGTTATTATAGTTTTATTTTTGTTTTATTTATTAATTTGAAGTCATTTAAAATTAGTTTGACATGAATTAAAATTAACTTAAGAAGTTATGTCATATAGAAAAACTATATTTTAAATAGTGTTTGTTTTACAAACTTTTTTTATGGATTTTTATTTTTCAGTTTAATTATGTTTTGTTTTTTGTTAAATTTTTAAATATTAACTAAGATATAGATTTGATATGATATGCATATTATTTTGATATAAAACTTTTGGCACTTATCCATTAAGATGAAGTGTATAGAATCAAAATCTAGTTTATTATGATGAAATATATAGTTAACTTGCATTGCAAAATGGAATGCCTAAAATTAAAATTTGGTTTTATAAAAAATACTTAATTAAATATAGAAAAGTTTGTGGATTACTATCTAGAATTCAAATATTATCAATAAGATAGAGTGTGTAGACTTTAAATTCTGTTTATTATGATGAAATATAGAATTAAATTACATAACAAAATAGAATGTGTAATACTGAACTTTGGTTTAAAACTTAATTATTAAATTAAATATTAAAAAAACTTTAGATTATACTTAGAATTCAAATATTATCGATAAAAATTTACATTTAGTTCTTACATCTGCCTGTTTAGGCGGGCCTTATCTAGTTTATTAATAAAATACAAGCTTTACTTAGTCTTTCTACCATTAATATTTTAGGTCTGGCAAGTCTTCTATTGGAGTTAAAATCTGCCAGTAGAATCTAATTCCTCCATTCTTGGTTCCAAGTGGTTCTTCCATGAAAACAAAACGCATAGTGAGTACACAAAAAGTTAGATATTGTTATTTAAAGATGTAAAAATAGTTCTGCAGCATACTCATCAAGCTCGAGAAAATCCATAAGTTTCTGAAGATTTTCATCAGAAGCAAGCCTTAGCTGATCGCATATCAATGGAGACGTGACAACATCTGTATTACGCACTTTATTGTAGAGTTACCAAGATAAGGTAATTATTGCTGAGCTATTAATAAAGCTCTTTATTCAGCGTTGTATTCACTAGTTTTTGTTTAATTGAGAGCAACCATTGTTAAAATGAAGATCAAGAGAGGGCAAAGAAAAATTTGTAGAATCTAAAAGTATAATGGGAAGGACAAAGTTGCTTTTTGATGACAAATGCATTGACTGGTATGAAAAAAGAGAAGCATAATGAATTTGTGAGTCAATTCAAGAGAGTTACATGTTTTTTTTCAAACATATTTAAAGATTCTCATTGATTCATCTTCATGTATATAGACAAGTGCATTGAAGATATTGGTAAAGGAACATTTGTTTAAGCAGTGACGATAATGGTACAAACAACGTAGTAGATACAATATGCTGAAAGAGAAGAGACATAATATATTTTGGCCAGATTGCGCTGCTCACACAATTGATTTGATGTTTGAGCGAGTTTCGAAGGTATTTTTTCACAAAGGTGACGGTCATTTTATTTGAATAACACATGACTTTTATTAACTTTATAAAATCATGAACTCTAAATTTATAAAGATTTTAGATTACTTTTTACAAATATGTAAATTGATAACACCAAACTTTAATAGAGTTTTCAAAAATCTTAAATAAATAACAATACAATCTTAATAAATTTTAAATAATTGTAACTCCACCTAAATGCTCAAATCAATAACACCCTCTTAGTATGTATTATAATTGTATAGATATGTTGAATTTTATATTCATAGTTCATGACTTAGTCTTCAAGAGTTTTAATCAACACAATATTCTTCTTTGTTGGTCTAACCAAAATTTTAGTTGGTTACTTTTTCACTTAGTTTGTGGTGAAAAAGTCAGAACACAACTTTATTCTCCTTATTTTGTCGTTGATCTCTTGCTTCCTTTTCTTTTCATTTGATCCAACTCTAAACAACCAAAAAATCTAAACTTTATGTGGACTTAACTCAAGTCAAATATCTTTCTTTATTTTTGCCATTAAGGTAACAAAACTAACTCTTCTTTGAATATCTTCTTCTTTTTGATGATTTACGATCTATGCACTCCATCTTCTTCTTCTCATTAATTTTAACTTTTTCTTTTGCAATGATTTAGGAATATGTTCTTTAATTCTTAACACTCCACGTAAAAATTCTTTTTCACATAACATATAATTCTTAATATGAGAGATAATCAATCAAACCTTAGACAT